TGCTGGCGGCGATCCTTCGTGCGGCCTCGCAGCAGCAGACGCCTCGCAGCAGCAAACGCCAGCAGCAGCAACGGAAACAGGAGCAGCTGCAGCACAGGCGCATGCAGCTGCAGCAAATGCTGCCTTGCCAAAAAAAGGGACACGGCAAGCAGCAGCAGCAGCAGCAGCAGCAGCAGCAGCAGCAGCAGCAGGTGCACACGCCGGTGCTGACGAGGCGCTGGAGGGGCTGCTGTCGGCACTCGGGAGGCTCCCTATACCGGGCAGCAGCAGCAGCAGCAGCAGCAGCAGCAGCAGAGCAGCAGCACTGGCCTCCTCGCTGAGGATCTGCAGATGGACCTTTGATGTTAATATCAGAGGGGGCTCTAATTGGTGGTCGCCGCTGCACCTTGCCGGTAAACCCTAAACCCTAAACCCTAAACCCTAAACCCTAAACCCTAAGCCCTAAACCCTTCCCCGAACACTACAGTCCAAGCCCTAAACCCTAAACCCTAACCGTTAAACTCTAGGAGCTCCTCTTAAGATGTAGTTTTCACAGAAACGACGCTGCTCAAAGATTTAGGGTTTAGGGTTTAGGGTTTAGGGATTAGGGTTTAGGGTTGACAAGCCAGCCGCCGTTTTGCGAAGCGGCCAGCAACTGTGACCCAGCCTCTCTGCTGCTGCTGCTGCTGCTGCTGCTGCTGCTGCTGCTGCTGCTGCTGCTGCTGCTGCTGCTGCTACTGCAGCATATGGCGGCGATGTGAGCTGCGTGCAGCAGCTGCTGGCCATGGGCTGTTCGCCCTCAGCTGCTTCCCGCATGCGCCGCAGCCCCTGGGCCACAGCTCGGGGCCCGAAGCAGCGCTGCATTCAGTTGCTGCTGCGGCTGCGGCAGCAGCAAAACTCCTGGCGCCTTCTGTGTGACAGCAGCAGCAGCAGCAGCAGCAGCAGCGGCAGCTGCAGCGGCAGCGGATGGGTCGGGGCCTTCGCCTCCCGGCACCTTGCCTGCTCTGCGGGGGCTGCTTCCCTGGCGCAGCAGTCTGCTGCTGCTGCGCTGCTGCAGGACCAGCAGCAACTGCAGCAGCAGCAGCAGCAGCAGACGCAGGAAGACCGAGGGAATGGGATACAACAGGAGCAGCAGAAACAGTACGAGCAGCGCCAGCAGGAGCAGCAGCAGGAGCAGCAGGAGGAGCAGAAGCAGCAACACGAAGAGCAGCAGCAACAGGGGCGGCAGCAGGAGCAGGAGCGGCAGCAACAACCACAGCAGGAATGCCAGCAGGAGCAGCAGCAGGACCAGAAGCAGCAGCAGAAGCAGCAGCAGCAACAGCAGCAAGAAACGCAGCCAACTGAGGAACTGGTGACGAACTTCGACCAACAGCAGAACGCCTGGTAAGCCTGCAGATGGCTGCTCTCCTTTTGCGGTTGCTGCTGCTTCTGTTGCTGCTGCTGCTGCCTTATTGCAGCAGCTGCTGCTGCTTTATTGCTGCTGCTGCTGCTGCTGCCACACCCACTGTGCTGCTGCTGTCTGCAGGAGTGCAGCAGACCCTCTCTACCCTCCAGATGCAGTTGCAGCAGCAGTCTTTTCGGCTGTGGGGCTGCTGCAGCCGACGAGTGCTGCTGCAGCAGCTGCTGCAGCTGCTGCCTCTGCTCTGGGACTTATTGAGACGCGCGTCAGCAGCAGCAGCTTCCTCAGCTGCAACAAGGAGGTCGAGCAGCAGCTGCTGCTGCAGCAGGCCTTGCGTGTTGCTGCTGCTGCTGCTGCTGAAGGTCCCCCTTGCCGCCTGCACGCTCTGCTGCAGCACCCGCACTTCCCCATTTCTGCTGCTTTGTTGCCGTTTGCTGCTGCTGCTGACATCCCCCACATTGCAGCAGCGCTGCTGCCTCTGTGCGCTGTTGCTGCTGCTGCTGCTGCTGCTCGCGAACTTGGAGCCCCAAGTGAAGCAGCTGCTGCTGCAGTGGCCGTTTACAGTATTAGAGGCAGCAGCAGCACGACAAGCCGCAGCAGCGGGGACAGCGCCTGCAGCGTCGATAGCAGCAGCAGCAGCGGCAGCAGCAGCAGCAGCAGCAGTAGCCGGCCCCAGAAGAAAAAGACAAGCGCTGCTTCCTCTGCAGCCTACTGGGATATTCGCGCCCGGCGGTCTGCAGCAGAAGCAGCAGCAGCAGCAGCAGCAGCAGGCACGAGAGAGCCAGATATGGAGCTGCTGCAGCAGCACGGCTGGATGTACACCTCGCTGCTGCTTGCTGCTGCTGCGCATGCAGACGAGTCCATCTGCCGCTGCATTCTCGGCTCCTTAAGTTTAGGTCTGTTCGCTGTGCTGCTGCTGCTGCTGCTGCTGCTGGTGCTTCTGCTGCAGCAGCAGGAGCCACTGGCGCATGTGCTGCTGCTCTCAGTGCTGCTACGTGAGCTCTTGCGCTGCCTGCCCTTGCTGCTGCTGCTACTGCTGCTGCTGCTACTGCTGCTGCTGCTACTGCTGCTGCTGCTACTGCTGCTGCTGCTGCTGCTGCTGCAGCTGACCGCCTTCGTGCCCTCAAACAGCGCGGCGCTTCCCAGGGGGTGACAGTCTTCCTTGCTGCTACCAAAGGCACGACCCACCAGGTAACCCTAAACCCTAAACCCTAAACCCTAAACCCTAAACCCTAAGCCCTACGACCTAAACCCTAGGCCGTAGGTTTCAAGCCTTCAACCCTAAACCCTAAACCCTAAACCCTAGGAGCTAAAGCCAAGGCCATGGACCCTAGACCCAGGCCGTTACTAAACCCTAGCCCTAAGCCCTAAACCATAGCTCTAAACCCTAGGCCCCAGACCCCAACTAAACCCTAGGCCCGAAACCCTAGATCCTAAACCCTAGGCCGCAGCCCCTAACATCTTACTGCAGCAAGCTGCTGCTTTTGCTGCCTTCTGGTCTCATTGTCACTATTTGCTGCTGCTGCTGCTGCTGCTGCTGCTGCTGCAGTGTCGCTTGCAGGGCTTCCACAAACCTGTGGCTCCTAGCAGCCGCACAGATCTCGTCAGCTGGCTGCTGAGCTGCTTCGTTGCTACAAGAGCTCAGCTGCAGCAGCAGCAGCAGCAGCAGCAGCAGCAGCAGCAGCGGGAGCAGCAGCAGCGGGAGCAGCAGCAGGAGCCCAGCGAGGAGCAAGAGCAGCAGCAGCAGCAGCAGCAGCAGATGGAGGTGCCCAGTAGCAGCAAGCGACTGTGTTGCTGCTGCTGCTGCACCTCAGCAGCAGTGCGCCGGCAGCTGCTGCTGCGGGCAGACACCCGCGGCAGCTTCCCGCTGCTTGCTGCTGTGCAGCACGAGAACAGCCCGGAAATGCTGCAGCAGCTGCTGCAGTTCTGTCGCAGCTGCATGTACACAACTGATGAAGGCAGCAGCAGCAGCAGCAGCAGCAGCAGCAGCAGCAGGGCTCGTTGGGTCCCGGCTTGGCCGCAGGATGCAAGCGAGAGCCCCCGCATGCTAACTCAAGGCTACCAGGCCTCAGAGGTACCTAAACCCTAAACCCTAAACCCTAAACCCTTGAACCCAAATTTGTAGACCTGAAGCCTATAATTCTCAGCTGCAGAACGCTAAACCCTAAACCCTAGGTGATAAACCCTAAACCCTTGGCGAAAAGCTCTGCTGCCGGCACCAAGCCTCAGCAGCAAACCAAAGACGCCAGAATAAACAGCTCGCTGTGTTGCTGTTGCTGCTGCTGCTGCTGCTGCTGCTGCTGTCAGCTGCGGGCTTTGTTGCGCTGCGCCCGCGCGGCAGTGCAGCAGAAGAGACATGAAGAGCTGCTTCACCTGCTATACTTCAAGGCCCTGCTGCCCTCCTGTGCAAGCAGCAGCAGCAGCAGCAGCAGCAGTGAGAGCAGCAACAGCAGCAGCATCAGCAGCAGCCACCCTCACGCGAGAGCTTCACAGCCCTGTTGCTTTCCCTTTTTGTGGGAGCAGCAGCAGATGCTGCAGCAGCAGCAGATGCTGCAGCAGCAGCAGCATGGTGTGCACCCACGCTTGCCTTCTGCTGCAGAGGCTGAGTTGCTGCTGCTGCGCCTGCAGCTGCTGCTTCTTGCTGCTGCAGCAGGTGACGCCCACGGCGTCTCACTTCTGGTGATTAGCGGCTTCGCTGATGGCTGCGTCTTAATTCAGGCGGCCCTGGTGCTGCTGCTGTGCAGCGGGGCAGCAGCAGCAGCTGCTGCTGCAGCCGTGGCTGCTGCAGCAGCTCCTGCTTCTGCTGCGGCATACCCGAAGGCAGCAACGCAGCAGCTGAGCCAGAGCTTAATAGGCGCTCATGGACCTCTAAGCGGAGGCAGTGCCACTGCTGCTGTTCGTGCAGAAACAACAGCAACAGCAGCAGCAGCAACAGCAGCAGCAGCAGCAGCACGAATACCAGCAGCCACAACAACACCCTGGGGGGCCTCCCGAGCTGCCCGAAGAGTCCGGAGGCTTGCGGCGCAGCTGTGGCGGTGGGCCATAGCTGGAGGCTTCCCCGTGGCCCTGATTGGAGCACAGCAGCAGCAGCAGCAGCAGCAGCAGCAGCAGCAGCAGCAACAGCAGCAGCAGAGTCAGAGGACGGGGAAGAACCAACAATGGCAAGATTCAGGGCCGCGGGAGTGCGCGCAGGCGCAGCCACAGCAGCAAGAGCAGCAGCAGCAGCAACAACAGCAGCAGCATCAGAAAGAGGAACTTGACCAACAGCAAGGTAATCCGCGGGACCAAGGACAAACTCCACAGCAGCAGCAGCAGCAGCAACAGGAGCAGCAGGAGCAGCTGCAGAAGCAAATGCTGCAGGCGGAAAGACAGCAAGAATCGCTTTTCGAGGACCAGTGGTCCACTGCACTGCGGCAGCAGTCTGTGGATTCATCTCTCTATGATGCTTGTGAGCAGCAGCAGCAGCAGCAGCAGCAGCAGCAGCAATTCGAGCAGCAGGACGCATGCGACGAGTTCCTGAGCCCTCTGGAGGCTGAGGAACCGCGGCAGGAGCAGCGTTTGGCGGGAGCAGCAGCAGCAGCAACAACAGCAGCAGCAGGAGCAGCAGCCCATGGGGCTCAGCTGCTGAAGCTGCTGCGGAAGTGCGTGCTGCTGCTGCTGCAGTGCCTGATAGCAGAAGCAGCAGCTCTGAAGAGCAGCGCGGGCAAGGCTTTCCCCCGGGCCCCTGGACCCTAGCCCTGCAGCAAAACCCTGCAAACCCTCAGCTGTGGGGCCCCACAGCTGTTTGCTGCTGCTTTTGCTGCTGCTTTTGCTGCTCTTTTTGCTGCGCGCAGACAAAGAGAAGTCCCGGTGTCTCGGCGTGGCTCTCCAGGTGTACGTACACCGCGCGCTGGAGGGGCTGCAGCTGCTGCCGCAGCCGCCGCCAGCGGCTGCTGCAGCGCCTGCTGCAGCGCCCGCTGCAGCGCCTGCTGCAGCAGCGGCTGCAGCAGGTGCTGCAGCAGCAGCACGGGAGCCAGCAGCAGAGCGGACGCCAGCTGCCGCTGCGTTTGCCACAGCAGCGCTGCTGCTGCCCCCGCCTGCCCCCTTCAAGCTGCTGCCGCAGTACTCTGAAGCAGGAGGCCCCTCTGAGGCCCCCGAGGGGCCCCCTGGGGGCCCCCCTGGGGGGCCCCCTGGGGGCCCCCCAGGGCCCCCAGAGGGCCTCGGGGGGCCCCCCGAGGGGGCCCGCTGCTGGCGCTGCAGCAGCTTCCTGGTGACGAGGCGGCTGCAGCAGCCCCGCCGGATGAGCGACACTGCGTTGATGCAGCCGCAGCTGCAGGGAGGGGAGCAGCAGCAGCGGCAGCAGCAGCGGCAGCAGCAGCAGCAGCAGCAGCAACGCACGCAAGAAGCAGCCACTGCTGAGTCCCTCAGCGCCTACGCAGGCAGCCCCTTCTTCTACTGCTGGTGAGGCCAGGAGGGCCACTGGGTGCCGGGCGCTAGCAGGCGGGTCTAGGGTTTAGGGTTTAGGGTTTAGGGTTTAGGGTTTAGGCCCCCGCTGCTGCAGCTGCTTTGCTGCGGCTGCAGGAGCTGCGCAGTGCCGCTGTGCGCCTCCTGCATTGTGTGGCTGCCGGAGCCTTTTCTGCCGAGTCTGCAGCAGCAGCGGCAGCAGCTGCTGCAGCAGCAGCAGCAGCTGCTGTTGCTGCTGCCCGCAGCTGCATTCCCGGGGCATCCCGGCGGTGAAGAGGCGTCTGCAAAGCAGCAGCAGCAGCAGCAGCAGCAGCAGCAAGAACAGCCGGAGGTAAGCAGCAAGCTGAAGCTTTACTGTTCAAGTTGCCCGGAGGGCGCTGCTGTCAGTCTTTAGTCTTTAGGGTTTAGGGTTTAGGGTTTAGGGTTTGGCGAGCATGCAGGACGGACTGCTGCTTGTGGGAAACGAAGAGGCAAACAGCCAGACTAGCACAACAATACGTTTGCCGGCTGCTGCAGCAGCAGCAGCAGCAGCAGCAGATGCAGCAGCAGCAGCAACAGACACAGCAGCGATCCGCATGCCAAGTGAAGGTTGCAGAGAAGCATCTTACAGGAGCAGCCAGCAAAACTTGCTGCTGAAGCAGCCATCGTTGGCAGCAAGGCAGCAGCAACTGCAGCAGCAGCAGCAGCAGCACGAGGCGCCGGAGGACGAGGCGCAGCAGCAGCAGCTGCAGCACCAGGAAGAAGAGCCGCAGGAGCAGCAAAAGCCCCCAAAGCAACTGCCGCAACGAAGCGATTCTGCAGAGTTGCCTGGCTCTGCAGCAGTAGAAGAAGCAGCAGCAGCAGCAGCTGCTGCTGCTGCTGCTGCTTCTGCTGCTGCCAGTTCAGCAGCAACTGCAGCAGAGCTTCACGAGAGACCAGGGCGTCGCCGCCAGGGCTTTTGGGGCTGGTTTAGATCTTCCACAGTGAATCCGCCGCAGCCACAGCAGCAGCAGCAGGAGCAGGAGCAGCAGCAGCAACGGCAGCAGCAGCAGCAGCAGCAGCAGAAGACAGCAGCAGCAGCAAAATCATCGTGGAAAAGGCTCGTGGCGAGGGGCTACCGCAGCTTGCGAGGCAGCAGCAAACGCCAGGCCGGCTCCCAGCCGGCGCGGCGAAGGTCTTCAGAAGCAGCAGCAGCAGCAGCAGCAGCAGCAGCGTCGCCAGCGCCTGCAGCGGCAACGAGGAAAGCAGCGCGAGCAGCAGCAGCAGCAGCGACTGCTGGAGCGAGAGCAGCAGCGGCAGCAGCAAGAGCTGCAGCAGCAGCAGCAAGAGCTGCTGCAGCAGGGCAAAACAGCAGCGCATGCAGCCCCGCTGCAGCTGTGAGCGACTCCATCCCCTCTCCTGAGGACATTTTGCTGCAGCAGCAGCCTCAGGAGCAAGGCAGCCTGGCCCCAGCAGCAGCAGCAGCAGCAGCAGCAGCAGCAGCAGGGGACCTTGAAGAGCCCCTAGGGGCTTCAGATGCTGCTGGATGCATGTATGGGGAGCTGAAGCAGCCGCTGCAGCGCAAGCAGCGCCACAAGTGGGAGCAGCAGCAGCAGGAAGAGCAGCAGCAGCAGCTGCTGCTGCTGCAAAGCCAAAGGGCAGCAGAAGAAAGGGACCTCCGGCTGCTGCAGCAGCAGGCAGCGCAGCACCAACGGGTGCTGCTGCAGCTCTCAGCCGAGCGCTCAGCAGCAGCAGCAGTGCCGCTCCCGGGCAGCGGCGGCTGCCTCTTATTTGACCCCGCAGCAGCAGCAGCAGCAGCAGCAGCAGCAGCAGCAGCTGCCCCTGTAGAAGCCTCCCCAGCGCCCCTCTTGCTGCCCCCGAGAGGGGCCCCTCTGGGGGCCCCCCCTGCAGGGGCCCCTGTAAGGGGGCCCCCTGGAGGGGGGCCCCCTGGAGGGGGGCCCCCCGGGGGGGGGCCCCCCGGCCTGTGGGAAATGGTGACCCCTTTTTCGACTGTCCCCAGAGAGGGCCCCTCTTTTCTAATTAACAAAAGGGCCCCCGGGGGGCCCCCCAAGGGCCCCGACATGCTGCTTGCCTGGTGCTGCATGTGCACTGAGTGTGCTGCCTTCCACAGGCACGCCTGAGGGCCCCCCGGGGGCCCCCCGGGGGCCCCCTGGGGGGCCCTCTAGGGGGGCCCCCTGGGGGGCCCCAGGGGGCCCCCTAGGGACATTCTGGGGGCCCCCTAGGGGCCCCCTAGGGACCTTCTAGGGACATTCTGGGGGGCCCTCTAGGGACATTTTGGGGGGCCCCTAGGGACATTCTGGGGGCCCCTTAGGGGCCCCCGTCGCAGGCTTTAAGGGGCCCTTTTGGCGTTTGAAGGGGCCCCCCAAATGCCTTAAAAGACAGAAACAAAAGGTACTTAATTGGTACACTTTTCGAATGGGAGCCTTTTAAAAAAACGCTCCAGAGGCGGCCTCTGGGGGCCCCTGAGGGGCCCCCAAGTGAGGGGCCCCCAGGGGCCCCTGGGGGCCCCCAGGGGGCCCCCCAGGGGGCCCCCCACAGGGGCCCAGCGAAGTGGGTACTGCCTTCAAGACAGCACTGAAAGGCACCCCAGCTAAAGCAGGAGCATTTAGGTGGCCTGCGTGCTGCTGCTGCTGCTGCTGCTGTTGCTGCTGCTGCTGCTGCTGCTGCTGCTGCTGCTGCTGTTTTTTGAATACAAACGGGGGGAGATTTGCGCTGAAGCGGGATATATGGCGCTATACAAAAGAGTTGAATATTTGTTTGTACATTTGAATACAAAAACAAATATTTATATTTATATTTTTTATATAATATAAATATTAATGTTTATATTGTTCATATTATATTAATAATGCAAACATTTAAACAAGTTCCTGCTTTAAGCAGCTCAAGTCCACTGCCGCTAAAAGACTCGTAATGGCCTAGAGGCACTGCGCTGCTGCTGCTGCTGCTGCTCCGCTACGCTGCTGCTGCTGCTGCTGCTGCTACTGCTGCTACGCTACTGCTGCTGCTGCTGCTACGCTGCTGCTGCTGCACGTCAAGAAAATAAAAGCATTGGGTTTTCATCGCAGCGGGCCAAAACAAACAACGAAGGGCTTTGCAGTGTATGTACACCTCCCGCTCTTCAGGTGTACGTACACCCCAGGGGCCTTCCATATACCGGAAGAAACCCCAGAGCGCCAAAAAACAAAAAGAAACAAAAAATCCAATAAAATGCACTTCTTTTTACATTTACGAGCCAATGAAATCCTACTGGGGCCTCGGGGGCCCCGGGGCCCCCCAGGGGCCCCCCAGGGGCCCCCAGGGGCCCCCAGGGGCCCCCTGGGGGCCCCCCAGGGGGCCCCCGAGGGGGCCCCCTGAGGGCCTGAGGGGGCCTCATTGTTTCTAAGAAGAAGCAGCTGCCGAACTGCATGCAAAAATCAGTGTGGCATTATGAAGGCATTAACATTTGCCACTAGAGGCCTCACAAGGGCCTACACAGCTGCTGCTGCTGCTGCTGCTGCTGCAGCGGCAGCAGCAACGGCGGCCGCACCTGCAGCAGCAGCAGCAGCAGCAGCCACAGCGGTAACAGCAGCTCCCGCTGCTGCTGCTGCTGCACGTAGAGGCTGCGCCTCGGCGGCAGCCTCGCGTCAAACCCTGCTGCTGCCGCAGTTGCAACGGCGGCAGCAGCTGCAGCAGCTGCTGCAGCAGCTGCTGCAGCAGCTGCAGCAGGAGCAGCAGCACCTGCAGCAGCAGCACGTGCAGCAGCTGCTGCAGCTGCTGCCTCAGTGGAGCCTCTGCAGCGCGGGGAAGGAAATACGGCGAGAGTTCCTTTTCAAGGACTTCGTAGAGGCAAACCCTAAACCCTAAACCCTAAACCCTAAACCCTAAACCCTTCTCGAAGGCTTAGCACATCTTGCACCGCCTTTGCTGCTTCCACTGGATGTGCTGACAAGCAACAATGCTGCTGCTGCCGCCGCTGGCCGTGTTGCAGCAGCAGCAGCTGCTGCTGCTGCTGCTGCTGCTGCTGCATTTGCCGCCGTTCTCACTGCTGCTGTTATCGCAGCGCAAGAAGGCCTGGCTACCTGCGAGAAAGCTTCATTTCTTCTGCTGCTGTTGCTGCTGCTGCTGCTGCTGCTGCTGCTGTTGCTGCTGCTGCTGCTGCTGCAGGCCTGGGGCTTTCTGTCTCAGCTGGCCTTAAAAGCTGAGGCAGTGCAGCACCACCCCGAGTTTTGCTGCTGCTACTCTCGGGTGTCTGTACACCTCACGACGCACGACGCAGACTGCCTGACCCTAAAAGACTTTCGCCTTGCTGCCTTTATAGAAGATCTGCTGCAGCAGCAGCAGCAGCAGCAGCTGCAGCAGGAGCTGCAGCAGCAGCAGCAGCAGGAGCTGCAGCAGCAGCAGCAGCAGCAGCAGCAGTCGGGAACGGCCCTCAGTCCTGGTGCTGCCGGAGGGAGCGCATGAGCTGCTGGATTTCGGGTTTGTAGATTTCGAGCTGCTGCTGCTGCGCGTGCTGCAGCAGCAGCAGCACAGAAGCTCCCCGCTCGGGCTCTGTGCTGTACTCCGGCTCCTGCTGCAGCAGCAGCAGCGCCCTTTCAATGATGTCGGGCCCCACAGGGGACTGCAGCAGCCTGCGGAAGTAGGCCACAGCAGCAGCACGCACTTGCCGGGCAATGGCCCGCGCCTCCTCGCTGCTGCTGCTGCTGCTGCTGCTGCTGCTGCTGCTGCTGCCGTTTGCTGCTGGCGAGGCTTCGCGCTTTGTCGCGCTGCTGCTGAGGCTTTCGCCGCCGGCGGGGGCGGCCGCGGCTTTGCTGCTGCGCGCCTGGGCCCTTTGCTTGTCGCCGTCGCTCTCGCTGCTGCTGCTGCTGCTGCTGCTGCTGCTGCTGCTGCTGCTGCTGCTGCTGTGAGTCAGCTTGGCCAGCCGCGTGCTAATGCCCTGCACCTCCGCAGGACTCAGCCCCAGAGCTTCGTTGTTTTCCAGCAGCACGAAGTTCAGCAGCAAAGCTGCTTCGAGTGCGCCGTCGCTGCTGCAGCAGCAGCAGCTGCAGCAGCAAATCTGCACCAGCATTTCCGCAGTGCCCAGGGGGTCGGGGGGCCCCCCGGGGGGCCCCTGCAGCAGCAGCTGCGGGTCCCCCTTCAGCAAGTCTGCGCAGAGCAGCAGCAAACTGGCCAAAGTGTTGCTGCTCTCCTCGTCGAGCTGCTGCTGCTCCTGCAGCACTTGCTGCCGCAGCTGCTGCATGAAGGCCTCCGCCCGCGCTTCCGGCGGCACTGCAGCAGCAACAGCAGGAGCAGCAGCAGTTGCTGGCAGCAGCGGGGTCCGCAGCAGCTCTGCTGCTCTTTCGATGGACACGAGCAGCAGCAGCTGCTGCTGCTGCTGCTGCCGCAGCAGCACCAGCAGCGGCGGCAGCGCGCCCAGCATGTCCTCCTCAGTGGGGCACGCTGCTGCAGTGCCGCCCGCTGCTGCTGCTTCTGCTGCTGCCTTTGCTGCTGCTTCTGCTGCTGCTGCGTTGAGAGCTGCTGCTGCTGCTGCATCTATGTCACTTATTGCCAGCAGCAAAGACAAACAATGCGTGGAAGCCCCCAGCAGCGGCGCATGCAGCGCCTGCCGCAGCACGTACATACACCTGGCGAACAGTTCTGCTGCTGCTGCTGCAGTGGGTGCTGCGCGCAGCAGCAGCAGCCGCTTCATGCGCGCGTCTGCCAGCTGCTGCTGCTGCGTTTGCTGCTGCTGCCGCAGACTCAGAGCAGCAGCAAGGCCCCTGAAGGCCTCCTTGAGGGCCCCTGCGTCTGTGCAGCTGAGAACAGCAGCAGCAAACACGTCAGCAGCAAGCGGCAGCGCGGCGGCCAGTGCAGCAGCAGCAGCAGACGGCGCTGCTGCTGCTGCTGCTGCCCCGTGCTCAAGGTCCGGCTGCGCAGATATCAGGTTTGCTGCTGCCATCAGCAGCAGCTCAGCAACAGCAGCAGCAGGAACCCCTGCTGCGCGGCTGACCAGCAGCAAACGCCGGCTGACTGCAACAGCAGCAGAAGAGTGGCTGCACTGCTGCTGCTGCTCCTCCGCTGCAGAGATGGTCTCCAGGCCCGGCAGCACCCACTGCTGCAGCAGCAGCAGCAGCAGCTCAGCAGCGTTGTGCTGCAGCAGCACTGCTGCTTGTGTGGGGTCTCCTGCAGACTCCGCCAGCAGCTGCAGCTCCTCCAGCGACAAAGGAGCCAGCCCCTTCATTTGATCTATTTCAGTTTGTTCTGCTGCTGCTGCTGCGTCTGCTGCAGCAGCAAAAGTTGCTTCTGCTTCTGCTGCTGCCTCTGCTGCGGCCGCCGCTTTCGCGCGCGCTGCTGCTGCTCCCGCCTTCCCCGCCAGCCTCGCAGCTTCCTCTGCTGCTGCTGCTGCTTCATCGTCGGCGCGGTCCGCTGCTGCCTCCGCAGCTGCTGCTGCGCGGTCCGCTGCAGCAGCAGCAGCAGAAGCTGCTGCTGCAGCAGAGGAAGGCCGCCGGTTTGGCCCTAGCGCTCGCACTACAGCAGACAGCACTGTCAGCAAGTGCTGCCGACACTCCAGGCAGTCTCCACCTTCGCGCTGCAGCAGCCGCAGCCCAGAGGACGCTGCTGCGGGCTCCGCTGCTGCTGCTGCTGCTGCTGCTGCTGCTGCTGGGGCGTTCGAAGCCTGCGTGTCTGGGGCAGCCAGGGGATCCGCCGCAGGGGCGATCTCTGCTGCGGCTGTGTCAGCCGC